TTAGTTATTTCTCTAACCCAAAAACAACCCTAGGTACGACCGTAGGATTTAATTTCTAGATTGCATTAATAATTAGAAAGGCCCAATCCTAACTAACAAACACGCTACGAGGGTTTGTTTAAATTAGATCGTATGCTCCCCTGACATAAACCCAATTACGCCAGTTGCTACTAAGATAGAGATAACGAACAATTACGGATTCAATTACCTCTATTTAGCAAAATAGCATATATGAATAATTAATCATACACAAGGACTATAACAATTAAAAACAGGAAACATATGAATACCAATAAATGAAGGAAGCAATTAAAATAAATTAGATCTCACAGTAATTGTTGAACCAATTCGTCAGTTGTCCCCTCGGCTAGAATTAGGGATTTAGTTCTCCATTAGTGAAGAGTAGGCCGCGCGTGGAGAATTGGGAAAGGTTTGCAATTCGATTCTCCTGCTTCGGTCCACCACAGGAGGAAAAAAAACACGAGACTGTACTCCACCCGATTGTCTCTCTCAAGACAAACGCGAGAGAGGGTCTGACGCCCTATTTCAATCCCGGTCAAAGCCCAGTGAAAAGCTATCACCAAGGTCAACCGTTGTGGCTCTTGTTTTCTTCTCCCAATTGTTAAGTGGAAACATACGAGAGATTGATTTTGTTTTCCAATTCAATTCACACAAGGTAGGGTAGCCAAAAGCAAAGTCAACAATGGCGGCTCCTTTAAGCTTTCTTTCTTCTCGCACACAAGAAGCATACGAGAGGTTGGAAAAATTGCTTTTATTTCTCAATTTGGTCACAAAACCATCAAAAGCTCACAGGCATCCCAAAGTCAACAAAAGTGGCTATTGTCTGCTGCCTTTCTCTCCACAAAACTGTGGCTCTCTCCCCCTCATTCAAAAGCAAAAACTCCCCTTTTAACCTAAGCCGCGCGAGAGATAATGCAATCCCCCAATAGCCGAAAATTGTTACTTGTTTTAAAATTGCAGCCAGACTCCCTAAAAATATATTAAAATAAAATCTATTACAATTAGGTTTCTTCAGCTTCTCAAGCGGGCCCCACGTCCGATGAATCTTCTAAAAGTTGAATTTAAGCACTTTTCAGCATCCATTCCTGCAATTAGCACCCAAAACAAAATATCAGTAGAATCCACCTAATTAAGGAAAATATTTAGTCAATTAATTGTGCAATAATGCCCAAAATACCCACTAAAATGCATCCTATCAATTATTTATTCCAACAAAATATTTCTTATGTGCAGCTCATGCTTGTCCACCAATTCATGAAGAAATAGTGACATCTTCACTTCAAACTCATTTTTCGCAAGATTTATCCAGTTCAGTATGCTTCTATCAAAACTTTCACTCAGCTGACCCGTATACATTGGTAAAAAATCCTTATCATATTTTCCTTAAAATTATTCCCTAGCTAACTCATTTCCTTCAACCCAACTCCCTAACTTTTACTTTTTGTATCAGAAAATCCCACGATTTGTTGACTACTTTCTCAATGAACAAAAAACTCCACTTGTAGCTCTCAAAACTGGAGATAACATAACAGAAATTGGAATCAAAGGGAAGCAGCTCAAAAAAAATTGGAAAGCTTTCGTTCTCCAGCATCAACTCTAACACAATGACGTCCTTGTTTTCATTCCAAAATCAAAGACTGTCTTTACTGTTTTAATATTTGATAGCAATGGGGATGAAAAAATTTTCCCTTGGTACCCTGTATGTCATATCCATTATTATAATTAGCCAATTTATTATCATAATTAGTCATTAACTTTTTGTATTTGTAACATTATTCATAAACTATGCTATCCTTATTTATTAATACTCTGTGATTAATCAATAAACATGGTTTCATAGCTAAAAGTACTAAAAAAAGATAAAAATCAATTATAAATTGAACTTTACATCCAATAACAATTTCCTTTTAATGAACATTTACCTTGTTATCCATCTTAGTAATAGTTCACCTACTTCATATATAACTGTCATTTATTTCACCAAAAAATTTTACATTGGAATATGATACCATGCATTTCAAAAGCAAAAAATTTTCCACAATATATTTTATCATTATCCACCATTTCATATCCAATTTATGAAATCATCACTTTCCACTTTATAGATAAAACTTTAGATATAAACGGAATCAACATCAACAACTGACAAGCCATTTCTACCGCTTTTCCATTTATAACTTTTAATGCTTGGACTATTCTAACATTTTTAGCTATCATATACACCACTCTCCTACATTTATTCCTTTCTTGCTTTTACTTTTCATTATATGATTTCAGCCTATGTCACTTCCACACCCAACTCTCATCTTAATAATTCCATATTTATCCTAATCTAAACTTAACAGCCTATACAGTTTACATGTTTCTTCTTACTCTAACATCACACCAACTCTCAATGACCAATACAAGTTAGGGCATAATTGCATTGATCTACAGCGCGTAGCGCGGTTACAACCTCCTAGTATATATATAATTGTTGTCAAGGTTGATTATTTCTTTCGCCTACTTTCTTGAGCACCGCTGGACAATGTTCGAAAGTCAAATATGGTTTTGAAAAAACCACACGTTTGGTATCCACTAGGGAATGACAATGGCAATGAATATCTTAATGACGTTTGGTAGCTGTGTTGGAATAGGAATGACTTTCCATCTTATATGTTTTCCTTTTTTCCTTTTAATACCGAAATCAATTACTCACAATATAAGATTAAAGCACCGTTTTATGATTAAATTCCAACCAAAAATTTCAAACATATCAAGCAATTTATGGATATTTCATCAAAGCAACGAAATTCAAATTTATTTAACGTCATCAAGTCCATTTCTCCTTGATTATTTTAATTGAATGTTGTTACTTTTTCAACCTCGACTTCATCCCTTGTCAAGGAAGAAGAATGAGAGGAAAGAAAAATTGCAAAAAAACTATCATTCTTTGTATAAAAGGTTGAGAGACATCAGGGGGAAATTATTATAAGAAAACAAAGGAAGATAGTGATAAGGAAGTGAAGGGAGACAATAGTAGGAGAAGCAAATAGATGGTATCTTTTCTCAATTTTTGAATCCAATAGTGTTTTACATTTTGCTTTCTTTTAAAAAGTGGGTAGCAAGGATCATAGTGACCAAATTTGTAGGTAATGAGGGTAGGAGGTTGGAAGATCCAAAATAGGCAATGAAAATGCGGGATGCCATTGTAAATGCATCAAACACAATCAATACCGTTACGATTTCATTTCGTTTCCATTGAACGGCACCAAACCCCGCATCCAAACGGTTGGACGGTACCAGTCCTCACTGGAGTGGCCGTAACTCATTAGTCTATTTCTTGCCATCACTATCTGGCGATGACTTCGCAGGCCATGTTCAAACATCCAAGGGCATATGCAAATACACTACTATTTTTATAGATTTTTATCCATGCTTTCTTTTCTCTATTGTATTCATCTGCAGCATATTTAGACAAAACAAAAGTACTAGCAGGATGAGACTACGAAACTTTGAAGAATTCTTCACTTTTGAGAAACCGCAGTTATTGCCCCTAGATAATTTGCAAAAAAAAAAAAAAAAAAAAATTTAAATTAAATAAAATATTGTTCAGCAGTTATTGTGTGAGACATGTGGAGATATTTAGAAAAGGCCCACTACTTGTAGGTTGCAGCTTACCGAATCTCACAAATATTAATTAATCCCTTCTAAAGAAGCAGAATTTAACTTGGCACACATAAATAATCGGACAAATACTTAGATATGGGTAGACTAAAAGTACCCCTGCCAAATTCATCGGCTGCTTGGCTATTTGCTAGAGGCCTTCTCCTGCGTTCATTTGATGCGGCTGGTTGTGCCACTTTTCAATAATGTAAATAAATGAACACCCTTCCTTTAGTCATTGCCTCCGACCTGTTCTTTTCTTTATTTATTTTGAAGAATTAATGAAATTATTTATGTTTAAATCAATAAATCAAACTCAAATGAGCTACAATTGAGCTAAGCTCGACTCAAATTACTCCTAATTTGAACTCAACTCGAGTATTGAGCATAACAGATTCAACTCATACTCTATTGGAGCATTGAATACTTGATCTGTTCCGATTATTTGATCCTGTTTCGAGAATTCAACTTTTTAAAAATAGTGATTTGATTGTGATGTTTGTGTTTTTTTTTTAATTTTACTCTCACAAATTCAAAATTTAAATTTGAATGGTAACATGCATATGATTAGAGAGGAGAGTTATATAAGAAAGAGAGACTAAAAGATGTTTTTGACTTTCTCAACAGGATAAATATTTTTGGAACATCTCAAAATGAAAAGTAGGATACTTTCAATGGAATAAAAAGAGTACATTCCAGTGTTATTAGATTCGAACCGGATCGATTGGTTCAATCAAGCTAATCGTGAACCGACATTCTTCCCAAACTGATTTGTAATACAAATTTGCATTGGTCAAAAATCAGTCAAAATCGGCAAAAATTGGCTAGCCGATTCGACTGATTGATCCGATTCTCAAACTTTTCTTTCTTATTTTTACCAAATATAATTTAAGTTACCTAAATTGTAACACTTTTATTTATTAATAGAAGTATGAATATACCACTCATTTAGTATAGATACCAGAATCACTCACTTTCTTGAATGATCTTTCTTGAATGATCTTTTAAATCAAAATATTTCATTCCTATTATCCTACCAATTTAGCATCGGTGACTCCAACGGCGATGCCGGAAATGAATATATCTCTCCGAAAGAGAAGATATAAATAATGGGTCTGTTTGGATTGTAAGTTATTTGGGATTATTTGAGATATTTTTACTGTAGCATTTTTTGTGATGTGATGTATGTGAGATAAAAAGATATTGGGAAGGTAAAAAGGTGTATTGAAAATTGTAAAGATGATGTAAGCAAATAAAATTGAGAAAATATGAAGCAATCCAAACAAACCCAATAATATCCCAACGACTCACCAGTCGTCCCCAGCTAGCAGCAACTTTCAACTCTTCAATCGGTTCAGCTCACACTCTTGACTACACTGCTATATAACCAAGCAGATTTTGATATTTCAATTTTCAAGTAATTTTCCACCATTTCCGCCTGATCGGAACCGCCGAGAGAAGTCGCTATGGCTATCGCCAACGCTTTCTTGAGTCCTGCTGCTGCTGCTACCTTCGCTCCTGTTCGATCCAAGTTGTCCCATTCCGATTGTGACTTCTTAACTCCTCACTTGAATCTCTCCTTTTCCGCCTCCTCATCTAAACTCACCCGCGGGTTATTTCATTCCGGAATCACTACCAAAAGGTAAGCAAACTGTTCAACTTCTTCATGTCTAACGGCTGAAAACTTTATTTATAGTTTTTTTTTTAATGTAATGTTTGATCTAAATAAAAGTATTATATTTTTTTGCTTTTATTTTGATAGGAATATTAGTTGCGCTTCGATCGATGGTGTGGAATCAGTTAGTTGAGCCTCATTGGTTATTTACGATTTACCAAGTTTCTTGTTTAGCCTTGTCTTCTTCTTCTTTTTTGAAAAGTTCTTTTTATTGTTCAGTCGCTTTAAGTTGCTGTGAATAATATCAAGATTATCCAAGTTTTTCAGTGAAATCACAGCTATGAAGTTATTTGTTGTTTTTTTTTTCTGTTTAGCACATTATTATAAAATTTGTTTGTACTGAAAAGTGAGCTGCGGATATGCTGGAAATTACTTGATTACAGTAGTACTCTTTTGAGAGATTTCATTTGATTATTGAGCCTGTTAAAATTGCTGTTTCCAGAAATCAGTGCAGGATAGAGATGGTATTCCTATGCCGATTGTTCTGATAGATCAAGATTCTGACTCTGATGCAACAATAGTACAAGTTAGCTTTGGCGATCGTCTTGGTACTCTCATTGACACGGTGAAGTCACCATCCTTTGTCTGCCTGTCATCACGTTTCTGTTTCTTTTTGTTCCAGTTTTATTATTTGGTATCCGTTATGCAGTTGTTTTTGAAAGATTTGAAAGTAGTTCATGAGGTATCTTTTGTATCAAGTGGAAGGGGGTAGGGAAAGTTACGAGACTAAGCCTTTGTAAGTTATTGTAAGCCAATCGTATTCCATGAATATGATATGTATCTAGTGTGATGTATGGAATATATGACAAAGGTGAGGTATTTCTATTGATCGGTCATGTCATATAGGCCCGACTTGGACATCCAATTGCTTCGATTTGAATTATCCGGAGAATTCCTTAGATATATCAAAAAGATGGACAATTAATCCTATTTCTCGATTCAATAGAAGCTCAAAGAGGTGAATGGGGTCCCAACAAATAAGGAGAGGTGTGTCAAAAGCAGGTCTGATTACAACTATTCCTAATCCTAAATGGAATATAACAACGTAGGGATCCATATGTAAATATAGTATCTATTTAAATACACTCGAATGACCCCTTCTCATAATGAGAATGTATAGAACCCTATTCTGGTCTGGTCCGGTATGGAATGAACTTATAATCATGGAATTGACTCGATCATCCGATTATAAGTTCATAACCCTAGCCCATTCCCATTCTGGGCGGAACAGGTTTACTAATTCTTTGATTCCAGTTAGTAAGAGGGATCTTGAACTAAGAAATAGACCCTAGAAGCTAAAAAAGGCTATCCTGAGCAATTGCAATAATCAGGTTCATTGATATTCCTGGTATAGTAGATGCTATTACACATACAATCATACTCAATTTGATGGAATACCACAAAGAGAAAGTGTACCTAATAAAAAAGTGTTTTTGGTAATTGGTATATGTTTTGTTAAACCTCCCATAAGAACCATATTTTGACTTTTAAAAGGAGAATATCCAACAATTGTTTCCATTGAATGAATAACGGATCCAGATCCTAAAAATAATAATGCTTTGGAATAGGCATGAGTAATCAAATGAAATAAAGCACTTCGATAAAATCCCATACCTAGAGCTAGCATCATATAACCCAATTGAGACATTGTGGAAAAAGCTAATCCTCTTTTAATGTCTTTTTGAGCAAGAGCTAAAGTAGCTCCTAATAATACTGTTATTATTCCTATCAATGAAATAAAATTCATTATGTAAGGTATAACTATGAAAAGAGGAATAAGCCGAGCTACAAGAAAAATTCCCGCTGCTACTATGTATAAGAGCAGAAATAGGAGTGGGCCCTTCCATGGCATCAGGTAACCATACATGAAGGGGAATTGTGCCGATTTAGCAACGGTACCGGCAAATACTAGACCAGCACACAAAGTAACAAACAAAGAATTGACTTCATTATCATAAATCAAGTTATTGAATATTTCGAATAAATCACCAAATTCATCTATAACCTTTTCAGATTTATGGCATCAGGTCTTTTGGAAATTTTTAGATATTGTGGACCTCATCTTTTTATCAAACTCCTCAGTGTACCTTTTGTAAGAGGTACTGACTTTTAAGATATTGTATGCCATGTTTCCTCCTGTATGGACTAGTTGTGATGGAGCCTGAGGTAGTACTCTTCCAGTCAGACCACAAATATCTGCCTTTCTGTTTCTTTACGCTTATTTAACCCATGGTTTTTAGTTTGCCCAACTGTTTGAGATTTTTTACGATGCTAGATATTCAGATTTTGTTACGGGGACTTAGCTGCTTAAGATTAATGCCTTTTTCACTTTTCTAATCTTTTCAAATATGTCAGCTTGGATATCTTTCATCTTTAAGTATGTTTATATAACATGCAGTCTTGGTTTTCTCTGGAGCAGATGAAGGCACTAAAAGATCTTGGTTTGGATGTTGTGAAAGGAACTGTCAACACTGAGGCCTCAGTGATAGAAACAAAATTTTTCATCACACATCTCTAATGAAGTATTTAGTTTGCTTTTCCAAATTGATGGAAAGTTCTCACCATTTGGCTTCTGTTTCTGATGCTCCTTGTGGTCTTATAAGTAGACTAGATTCCCTTTCCCTGCTGCTGCACAATAGTTGTGTAACTATGCTGCTGGGTTTTGAAAATGTTTCTTATAGTTGATGATGCAAAATTCACCTTTTTGTCATCTGATTCTGGTGTTGGCATAAAGATACTTCACATTAGTTTACTTGGTGAAAGATTTCAGTTTCTTAAGGAAACAATATGTCTAAACTACTTGTATTAAATTTGTAGTAAAAACTCAATCTGATTTTTGAGATTGCCATCTCTTGAGAAAAGAATTATTCACGGGCAAATAAAAGTTCGATAGATAAATAAATGGAATTCATCTTAAAAGGTTAATCTGAAAAGTAAAAGCAATCTTGAAGCATTGCCAACAATTATTCACAAACTTTTTTGGTGCTCCAACCCGCTAAGAGTACCTTCACGAATGAATGTTGGACATATATTTGAATGTTCACTGGGGTTAGCGGGAAGTCTGCCAGACAAACATTATCAAATAGTGCCTTTTGGTGATAGGTATGAACCAGAAGCTTTGAGAAAACGGGTGTTTTCTAAATTATATCAAGCTAGTAAGCAAACAGCAAATCCGTGGTTATTTGAAGCCGAGTATCCAGGAAAACCTTTTGAACAACCCATTCTAATAGGAAAGCCTTGTATCTTAAAATTAATTCATCAAGTTGATGATAAAATCCATGAATGTTCAAGTGGACATTATGCACTTGTCACACAGGAACACCTTAAGTTGTTATGTGTCTAGTGGAGCTTACATTTTGCATGCATGTATTAGTTCTAATTCAGATATCAGATGTGTCATATCCCTTTTTTTTTTTGTTGGGAATGGTTTACAATAACTCTCATATTAGGGCAAGTGGACGCAAAGTTGAAGATCCTGATCTTTTGGAGAGAATTTGTCTTACCATTATCAACAACCTCCTGAAGTATCATCCAGTATGTTTCTGTTGCTAATGTACTCATATTTGGACACCATTTAATAGTTTTCCAGGATTTTCACGTGCTTATTCATTTTTATTGTGTACTTTCCTCTCTCTTAAGGTTGTTTATGTTCCTTAGACTATTTAACTCTTTCCTTCATCTCGATGATATGTGCTTATCAGGAGTCTAGTGATCGTCTTGCAATGGGTGAGGCTTTTGGAATAAAAGCACCGGCAAAGAAGGTAATTCCCTCTCCCTTTCTATCCTAGTCAATCTGATTTCCGTGTCTCTTTAAATTTCCTTATATTTAATGATCAAAATAAAACACATAATCCTGGTTGATGATTCATTGCAGCTGATTAACAATTTCTTCCATAGAACTTGCTTTTACAATCAATGCTGCTTACCCATATCTTTATACTACCTCAATCATATGTACATTGGTCCTTTGGGGTCTGCCGATTTGCTTACTAAATTTTTTTAGTTACACTTGGATGCAATTTTAAACAAAGAGTTTCTACGTAATGCAAAGGCAGTTAGTCATTCATAAGAGTAATATGTTCCACAATACAATGAACTTTTTCCATTCTTTCCTAATCAATGATTCCTTGAGGACCTAGTAACTTTGTTAGATGAAGAACCAATAGTTACTCTCTTGAGTTGATTAAAATTGCATATCATATATGACTGTTGCTTCCTTCCAGTAACAATCAAACCTTCCTTCAGATTATTGAAAGCTTAGTTTTGGCTGGAGATTTTAGTATATAGTGCTTGGTAGATCAACATTTTCTACTGGAAAGATTTCCTTTTGACCAGTTGGCTGTGTCGTCTTGTTGATTGCTGTATACAGTGATACTTATGCTTTCCAATCATGGTTTGGTTTCTAAATAATTGTTCTTGACTAGGTATACGGAAACATACTGAGGTGAAAATGAGTGTAGAATTATTTGTGGAACTTACCGCCTTGTAAACTTTTGACTTTTCCTGTCAAAATGGCAGCTTGATGTTGATGTTGCTACTCATATACATGTCAAGGATGATGGACCTGCAAGGAGGTGTGCATTTTAGCAGCACAAGTTCTTTATATGCAAGTGCCCCAAGTTATTAACTTGCTTTCGAACTAATACTAAGTGTTGGGTAGCTTTTTCAGAGTACAGTTCTCGGGCATCTCAGACTGTCATTTGTTTGCTTTTGTCTTGTGGTTGCAGCTTACTTTATATTGAAACAGCTGCTCGGCCTGGGCTGCTCTTAGAGATGATCAAAATTATGGCTGACATCAATGTCAATGTGGAATCTGCTGAAATTGAAACAGAAGTATGCCCTCCTGCCCCCCCCCCCCTTTTCTCTCTCCTTGAGTTGGTGTCTGAGTGAACATCTGTTGTTATATTTTGGCGTCAACTAATACTTACTAATTTCTAGGGTCTAGTAGCAAAGGACAAGTTTCATGTCAGTTACAGAGGGCAAGCGTTGAACAATTCCTTGTCTCAGGTAATTGGAATCTGCTTTAGGTTTTTAGTTTCTGATGTGTGGGCATGCGTGAAAACAAAAGAAAAGGGGTCACATAAATACAAATGCTCTTTAATATTGTCAATAGATAGTGTGACTAGAATTTCTACTACTTACAGTGTCCTGGGTACTACCATCCTGTCGAAGTCCCCTTTTGCATTTGACGACTGATTCATCTTTGGTGTTCCCCCAAATATTATAAATATAATCCTGGATGTTTTTGTGCTTTGATTAAAGGTTTGTTGCACTAGTCCAGGACAGAAAGATAACTAAGATTTCAAGTGCTATTTACTGATTAGTCCTTGATCAACTTGCACGTTTTTTTTCTCTTAGAAACTTGCAGCTGAAATGGTTCAATAAAATTTATGTTTTGCCTGAATAATCCTATAGTTAAGGTGAAGAGCTTGTCAGATTTACTCATAAAACGAGGGAAGTGGCATTTCTTGATCTAGAAATGTGTCTTGGGATCTTAGGCAAGATAGCGTTCAATTAGCAAAGTCAAAAGACCCACTCCATTGGTGAACAGGGGTCTAGTGTTGAGAGTTTCCAATGAGCAGAACTTTCTTTCCATGTTCTGCCAATGATCCTTTTGTTTAAGCATCTGTTCCTTGCATGTTATATTTGCACTTCTTTCTAGTTACAATTTGAATCTGCAGGTGCTAACTAATTGCCTGCGTTACTACCTCCGGAGGCCAGAAGCTGATGAAGATAGTTACTAAATGGAACCTTAACTGTATACTCACTGTATAAACCTTTGCGCTGCCTCAATCGAAGGGCTCGAGTCACCATTGCATTATGGTATGTCAGGAAATTGAGCTCACATTTCTTGCCATTTTCTAGGGTGTACATTTGCAACACATGTTGCCATTGAAAAAATGTCATATTCTATTAGAAAACTATTTTTCCAGTAATCTGTTAAATTGAGGAACGATCCATGCGAAGAGTTTAAACCTCCTCCTGGACATGTGGGGCAGTGAATTAGCTTTTGTTAGTGCCATCCCGACGGTTCACTCAGAAAATTTGTGCGTTTTTTGGGCATGAGGGCTACGTGTTTTCCTCCATCCTGTAAAGGTTTAAGGAATAAAGGCCGAGAACCTTCCAGATCCCAGCATGCTACTCCACAGCATTGAGCGTCCAACTTGACAGGGTTTTCTTCCCGTCACGTGCTTCCATTTTATCATCAATTTCTTTTACGCAATTTCAGATTTGTAGCAATATAATAAACAAGTCAAATGAAGCAATTCCTAAAGTTCAATATTAGAAAAATGGAGGTTAAAAATTTGGATAAAGGCAAAAAATTTGGATAGTCCGCAAATCATCTAGTTTATATACCTTTAGCTCTCCAATTATCGAGTATATAATTTTTGTCCCTCATAACTTGCAAAAGGTATATTTCACCCTTTCGGTTAGAGATAATTTTAGAAACTTCCTAAGATTTTTGTTAATATCACTTACATTTTTTAAATTTCGAAAATATTACTAACATCTCCTAAAATCATATTTTTTATAACGATCTCAACCTTGTATCATTAAAATATTCTTATAGTAATCACCTTTTGAAGGAGATATATCTTTCTCCCAATTCCACCCATTTTTGTTGTCCTTCACCCTTTTGGTTAGAGATTATTTTAGAAACTTCCTCAGATTTTTGTTAATATCACTCTATATTTCTAAATTTTCAAAAATATTATTAACATCTCCTAAAATCATATTTTTTGCAATGATCTCAACCTTGTATCATTAAAATATTCTTATAGTAATTATTTTATAGGGAGATATATTTTTCTCCCAATTCCACCTATTTTTGTTGTCTTACATTGAATTTTCTACCAAATTAATTATAAAATAAGATTTATATATTTTATCTAAAAATTTTGTGTTTCATAATTTTTTGCCTAGAAGTTGTTAAATTAGCAACGATAATTTTGTCAATTCATATGCTATGATAGTGATTAATGATCCCATCTCATTGATATGGATATTCAGTAATAATTTTGAAACTTGAAAGGTGCCAAGTGATATTACCATAAACTTCAGGGGATGTTTTTGAAAGTATTTTTAGTCAAAAGGATGGAGAGTATACTTTTTACAGCTTTGAGAAGCAAAAATATGCACTTAATTGTTGAAGGGTGGACTAACTATATAATGTAAGCACCATTCAGATTTTTTACCCAATTGGTAAAATAGAAGATTATTGATATATCATCTACTTGATTAACTATAAAAACTTTCAGCCTTAATCTTGGCTGCAACCTTGGAAAATTGCTCATCAAGACATGCAATACTTCTCAAACTCAAAATTTCTTATTTTAATGCCTAAAATGCCTCACATTGGTGAAAAGCAGGGATACTCCATATTTCTTACAGCAGTCTATAGCATCAACGTCTCTGATGCTACCTCCAGGCTCTGCAATTACGCTTATCCCACTTTGACATGCTTCTTCAACAGCATCGTTCCAAGCTGTTCACAAAAGAAAACTTTCAAAAGATAGAGATAGGTAACCAATTATTTAAGATTTGATTTAGCATATCCTTCAGTCTATTTTCTGCTACCACTTGAAACTTTTTCACATCAAGAATTCCCTTCAGTGGTGCAGACCTATTACCTTTCTCGATCCAAAAATAAAACTAAGTAAATTAATAAATAAAACCTCTCCCTAACATTTTAGTCTTTAATCCCACCTCATTCTGAACTCAGTCAGGTAAATAAATCAAAATCCACTATTGCTTCATTAAGGTAATGAAATGATTACCAAATGGAAAGAAAGCATCACTAGCCAAAGCAGCTCCCTTGACTTCATCCCCAGCTTTTCTTAAAGCTATCCTGAAGCTTTCCAACCTGTTTGGTTGCCCACTTCCCATACCTAACATACAATTGTCCTGCCAAGTAAGGAGCACGGTCAGAAACAGATCATCTGAATGTAGACATGTTTTACCACCTGTATTCTTTTTATTTTCTTAATTAGGGAAAAAATGTTGTTTATGTTCAGCTAGATTAAACTCACCTTTGCAATGACAATGGCATTACTCTTGATATGCTTCACACAGAGCCACGCAAACTGTGCATCAGAAAGCTCACTTTCTTGTGGAGCCTTCTCAGAGACTGATTTGAATTGGATATCTTCAGGAACTAAATCATCTGAATCCTGAGCCAACCAACCCCCAACAACTTGCCTGAGCGAGAGTTTTCCTTTACTATTTTTATTTGCCTCAAGTATTCTCAAGGTCTTAGATTTTCCACGAAGAACCTCTAGCCCCTTTTTGGTATACTTGGGTGCAACAACAATCTCATAAAACATTCGAGTTTCATTGTTAGTTGGGCTTCTAAATTCTCGAATGTCCTTAGCCAGCACCTAAGAAGACAATTTTCAACAACTTAACAGTTACAAATGGATTTCAGTTGTTCTAAATGAAAAACAGCTGACGTTATATCAAGATCATTGTACTGCATAGCCAATGTGCAATGGTTAAGCACAGTCACCACATTTTCATCACTTAGATTAGAAGTTAAAATTTGAGGACAAATTTGAAAGAAAAAAATAGCACAGAACTTCAACATTGACACCATGAGGAAGACGTGAAAATTACCTCATCAACTTCCACATTAAAGGCTACAATACCACCAAATGCACTCACTGGATCTGCTTTCACAGCTAGTCTATATGCTTCAATGATATCATCACGTGAAGCAACTCCACAAGGATTTGTGTGTTTCACAATGACACAAGTAGGTCTATTAAACTCACACACGCAATTCCACGCTGCATCTGCATCTAAATAGTTATTATATGACATCTCCTGTACCAAAGGATACAAAAGCAATCTGAGTTTGATACAAAGTTCACATTATAAAATATCTCTTACTTAATGTAAAGCCCAAAAATAGGAAGTCAACACAGTACATGGAAGTAATTTCGGATTTAGCTAAAAAGAGGGATTCAATAAGTTTGAGAAAACAGAAGAGTAACACAAGCAGACGCACTCAGAAAAATTGAAAACACAATGATTAAGATGACAAGCCATCATTTATAAGACAGCAAGCATTTCTTTCAACTGCAGAAAATGTACAAGATTATTAATTTTCAATGTTATGGTAAAATGTCCATAAAAGGATATAAATTTTCAAACCATAAAAACATTGATTACAGAAGAGCTTTAACTAATTTATAACTGGATAAGATTTAAAGAGCGCTTAACAAGACACAAAGAAATATGGATAACACTACTTGCAAGCAGTACAAAAGCCTTAGTCTCTAGTTCCTCACCACACTACACCCCATAACATAAGAAGACAGCAAAACTTCACTATACCCTCTACTGTTCCAGGTACAACAAACAGTGCATCATGTCAAATGATATCATTTTCCTTTTATCCAAAAGGGAAGGAAAGATGTAATCATCCTTGGTACACCAAAGGATTCATTCCTCTCTCCACCAGGTTGATCTTTCAACATATCAAAGCAAAACCTTGATCGTGTTATATCACTTACTTTTAGTTCCAGGACCAACTTGAAACAACATGGCTAACTTTCGATTGAGGTATCAAACAGTCAGCCTAATGGAAAAGGTCATGAAATAGTACACTCTATGGAACAAAATTATTCAAGAAATGAGGCCTGAAAAGAATGCAGATCATGTTCGGCATCAGTCGCTTACCTTTCCATGGTGTTGAGTAGCAGTTGCAATACCACCACCATTAACCTCAGCGAGAGACTTGTCAACATAAAATGCAGCCTTCTGGTGAGGATTTTCACCATACCGAAGTGGACTTTTGAGTGAGAGAGACACAGTCATATTGGGAGGAAACTTATCTTCAAATCCACAAGAAATTAGTCAATATGAGCAGACAGACAATGGGATGATTCAAACTTATTGGTTTTCAACCTTTAAATAAAGATCCCACAATCTTTTGAGTAGTTGCCAACATGAATTCAACTTTGAAGCATGTAGATGTGAGGAATCTCATGGCAAAGAGATCGTGGAAACTATATGTTCGGCATGGATGATTTGACAGAAGTATTTCTACGTGTAAGAAAAATTAATACCTTCTGATGTTTGCTTCCACAACCACTCTGAAACTGCAGTGTCGTAAGAGGCAACATGCTGGAAAGCCTTCTGAGCCAGCTTTCTCCTAAACTGTTGGTTGTCTTGCTTTCCGTGAAGAAACTCTAGAAGTGCAGGGTAGTCTTCTGGATCAACCACCACCAACACATCCTTGTGATTCTGTTGGGTATAGCATTGAAAAATAAGACAGTTGTCATTTAATGCTACCTTACATATTAGCCTAAAGAGCGTTTTTTGCTACCATAGGAAAAGACTTTGACTTGACAATTAACACAAACAGGGTTTTTCACTTATAATGAGACATACCACGTAGACATTAATGCACATATATGAAAGATGCCAATTGAAGCTCATGAAAGTGATTTGCAACTGAGCCTAATTACAAGTAATAAACCTCAAAACTGAAAAGATGTAAGAATGAGCAAGTTTTGTTTGCATTATACAAACTCCAAAAACAGTAGGAATATTTATTTTGTCATTGTCATCAATAAGCAAGGCTATAGAATTATTCTTTACTACTTACTACAGCACCATAGATAATTTAAAGCACTAGCTTCAAGCTTACAAAACTTTTCAAAAGCGCATCATTTGATGCATCATTACGGTAAATTTCCTCAAACTCATGACTCATTAAATCCCCAGCATTTAGTATCAGATCCTAGAATTAGACAATTGATGAGTTTAATGTTACACAAGGTTTATACATGCATGCCAAAAGAACTTGACAGCTTTTCAAAACATATCCAGCCGCAAGGAGAATGGATATGTGACATGTTAATAAATAAAATGAGAAAAACAAAAGCAAGAAGGCTGAGACCAATAACCTTTGCAGCAGCTCTTATCATGGCTGGGCCACCAATATCAATGTTCTCAATTGCATTCTCAAAGGATATTCCACTTGAAGAGGAAACTTTTTCATAAAATGGGTATAAATTTACCACCACTACATCAATTGTACCTGCAAAAGGGAATTGTTTTAAAGATGGATGGGGTATTGTAATAAGGCAAGCAAGCAAGAGCAGTCGTCCACTCCAGATGCAAG